AGAGGGACAGAGAGTTAGAAACATTGATGAGAAACATCGATCAGCAGCCTCTTGCACACCCCCTACTGGGGATGTGCCTGCAACCAAGGTACATGACCTTGATCGGAATTGAACCCAGGGCCCTTCAGTCCTCAGGCCGATGCTCTATCCACTGAGCCAAACCGGTTTTGGCTGCACCTGTTTTTTCTATGTATCTTTTTTAAAAATACATTTTTATTGACTTTAGGAAGGAAGGGAGAGGGAGAGAGATAGAAACATCAGTGATGAGAGAGAATCATTGATTGGTTCCCCTCCCGCACACCCCCCTCACTGGAAATGGAGCCACCACAGTGCCTATGCCCTGACTGGGAATTGAACCATGATCTCCTGGTTCATAGGTTGACCCTCAACCACTGAGTCACACTGATGGGGCTAAAAGTATCTTTAAAAAATAAATAAATAAATATATATATATAAATATATATATATATATATATATTTTTTAATTGACTTTTTACAGAGAGGAAGGGAGAGGGGTAGTTAGAAATGTCAATGAGAGAGAAACATCTATCCGCTGCCTCCTGCACAGGGGATGTGCCCACAACCAAGGTACATGCCCTTGACCGGAATCGAATCTGGGACCTTTCAGTCCGCACTCTGACGCCCTATCCACTGAGCCAAACCACTTAGGGCTACATCTATATTTTTTAATGCTCAAAATAACGCTTCATGATAAGCATTACTATCTTCATTTTATGATGGGGAAACTGAGTTCAAAAAGGTTAAAATACTTGCCCCAAGGCATACCTGGTCTGTGAATGGTGAGATTTGAATCCAAGTAAGCCTAACTCCCAAGCTATATATATTCTTTTTCCTTATACAGCATTCCTTACCATGAAAAAGCAGGGTTTGGGGCAAAAATGGCCCTGACAGAGGACATGCAAATAACTTATAAAAATTACTTCCAGTTCCAAAATTCCCAGTCTTTGATCTCTATTCATATGGAGAATTTTTAAAATGCCTGGCTGGAATTCCTTTCTACAGAACGGGGTTTTAGTTGGAAGGGTATGTGAATGAAGGATCTGGTGCCCAAAGACAACGCTGGAGGGGTAGTGAAGCCTGAGGTACCTAAACTTTTCCTCTATGTCAAGGGTTTCTTTGCCTCTTCTGGTTTTCTCCTGGGAAATAGGAACATAAAACCACATGATCAAAACCATATCCAATAGTGTGGGGTTTCCAAGTACCAAGTGTTGGGAACACCCGTGATGCTATCCTTGGACAAGCACACAAGCACCTAACTTAAGACGCTAGTGTCCAGAAAATTTGCCCAGGCCACTCCACTGTGAGGACGTGGTCCAACTATGCTGGCCCACAAGCAACTCTGTGACTGCTCAGCTTTCCCTTATTTTTTATTTTTAAATATATATATATTTTATTGATTTTTTTACAGAGAGGAAGAAAGAGGGATAGAGAGTTAGAAACATCGATGAGACAGAATCATCGATCAGCTGCCTCTTGCACACCCCTTACTGGGGATGTGCCTGCAACCAAGGTACATGCCTTGACCGGACCTGGGACTTTTCAGTCTGCAGGCCTAGGCTCTATCCACTAAGCCAAACCAGTTTCGGCAGCTTTCCCTTATTTTCCACATCATAATGGTCTTTTCTCTGTCCTTCCAAAGGAGTGGACAGAAATGAGCCACCCATCTATGAATAAAGTTCTCTCTTGTAACAACAACAGCAAAAAGAGAAAAAGAAAACAGAAAAGAAAAAAGCCCCCAACCACCATGATGAAATTGAGACAATGAAAATGTTCCCTCAACTCCACCTTTCCCTGGACATCTGCCACTTTTTCTTCTCAGAGACCAAGCTGCTGAGTCATCTTGCTATCTTTGCTATTTAGCTGCGGGAGGAAAAAGGAGGTTTCACCTGCAATGACATGAATATTGGCTTCCAGGAGGAGGACAAAGTCAGACAAGGTTGAGACAAAAATCATTTCTAGCGAAGGGAATTCATTTAGTGGCCTATGAGTGCCATCTGCTGTACAATTCTGGAAAGCAAGCACGGGGAATTTTAATATTAGCCTGAAGGGATTTGTTTATTCATCTTACATCTGTTGAGTGTATCCCATGCGACAGGCAATATAACAGGATTGAAGAGTAGATATGGAGCTGAATACTACAAAACCCGTTTTTAAGGGGTTCACAGTCTAGTGAAAGTGGAAGATATTTAAACAGACAAGTTACCAGTGTGTTTTGTGCATCATAGGGGTTTGTGTAAGATATTAAAGAAAAAGGAGTGATTATCTTTAGGTCAAAGGGGTACCTTAAAGGATTCTGAAGGATGGCTAGGAGTTGACCAGAAAAGGCTGGAGGCAAGGGGCACCCCAGGTAAAAGGGGTGAGGGCAAAGACCCTCAAGCACAAGATGGCATTCCATTGCCAACAGCTATGTATATATTCTGTAGGCAGTGAGGAGCCTTTGACAGCAACGATGGCTATAATATGGTCAGACTGACATTTTACAAAGACATTCTGGAAGCCTGTCTGGAAGCAATGAAGGTGGAAATGAATTGCAAGGAAGGTAGAAATAAATTAGAAGGGGAGAGGCAAGATCAATTGATTACAAGTCCGTTGCCAACAGTCCAGATGACAAATGATATAGAGTTAAATTAAGGCAGAGGCAGTGAGGAGAAGGGATGTATTTGAAAGATACCTCCAAGAGAAAATCAACACGATTTGATGTTTCATTGTTCAACAGAGAGGCGGGACACACACACACACACACACACACACACACACACACACACACGTATGGTTTGGGTGACCAGATAGAAGTAGGTGGAGTAGGGAGTAGAATGTAAGCTAATGATTTCTGTTTGGGACAAGTTGAACTTAAAGTGTTAAAGATTAACCACAAGGTAAAATGATGTGGGTCTAGAGTTCAGTGATTCTCTGATCCCATCTCTTCATTTCCCAAGGTGGAAATTTCCATTAGAGAAAAATTGTGCTCTCACAGTAGGTACCTTTGTAGCCCACCTCACTCCATTTGGGTGAGTCTGATTGGGCATCTGTTATTCCAAGCATTTTCATCCTCTTTCAGTCTGAAGTAGCATGGCACCAGCACAGGGAAGCATGGCTGTCTTTGCAGTGAGAAAGACCTAGCTCTTTAAACTGTGCTCCTTTGAGCAAAATACTTTAAATTCACTAAGCCTCATTTTCTCTCATTTGTAAGATGAGAATAACTCCTACTTTTCACAATTGTTGTAATTCAAAATAATGTATACATAGAATCTGATACATCAGAAGTACTGAATGTATGTGTCACTCTTATCCCTGTATCATAAAAGATCAGAAAGCTTTTCTTATTGTTTTTTTTTAAAGATATTGTTTTGTTTTTAATCCTCACCCAAGGATATGCTTTTTTTGACCTAAGGGGGAAAGAGAGAGGGGGAGAGACAGAAACATTGATGTGAGAAACAGCAATTAGTCCCTTTCCTATGCACCTTACTGACCAGGAATTGAACCTGTGACCTTCTGGTGTATGGGAGGACACTCCAATCAACCGAGCCACACCAGCTAGGGTTTATGATGTTTTAATGGCATGCTCTTAAGCTTTTATTAACAGATGAATAACTGGCAGCTGTGGCTCAGTTAAGGACTGTACCATGTACTAAATCAGGGAGTTGCCAGTTGGATTCCTAGTCAGGGCACATGCCTGGGTTGCAGGCTCAATCCCCAGTAGGGTACATGCTGATCGATGTTTCTCCTCTTTCTGAAATCGATAAACATTTTTAAAAAGATGCTTTTCATATTTTCTGCAAAATTGCTTGGGAACACTGTTCATCATTTCCTTATGTAAAAAGTCCCCCAAGCCTGGCTAGTGTAACTCAGTGGTTGAGCATCGACCTATAAACCAGGAGGTCGTGGTTCCATCTACAGTCAGGGAGAATGCCCAGTTGCAAAGTGAGGCCAATCCTCAGTGGGGGCGTGCAGGAGGCAGCCCATCAATGATTCTCTCCCGTCATGGATGTTTCTATCTCTCCTTTTCCCTTTCTCTCTGAAATCAATTGAAAAAAGTAGTTTATAAAGATCCCACAAGATAAATCTCTTTCAATGTAAGTAACTATGAAGAAATTTCACCTTTGAAGAGCGGATTATTTCAATAATTATTTAACTGACAAGTTTTGAGCTAAATTGGGTACTCAATTACAGTAAGTCTAATGGCCCATTGGTTTGTGTATTTCTTTGTTTCTATTAAGTTAATAGCTACCATTTTTTGAGGAGTTATTACTTGCCCAGCATTGTGGGAAGTGCTTCACCTTCATGATTTCAATTAATCTTCACAACTCTCTGAGGCATTACCCACATTTTTCAGAAGAAAAAGGAAGCTATCTGAATAGTAATTCAAAATTATTGCTCTTTACCTGAACTCTCCACTAGTAGTCCACGTTTGGCTATTTGTTTGCATTCACTTTACTTTACTTATATATATTAAGTATAACAAGTTCATAGGAACCAAACCTTGCCTGAACAAAGAAAAAAGTGATGTTTTATGTAGTGAGATGCTGGTATGACTTTACTTCGGCTATAATTGTCACGATATTTTCCATTCAATAAATGAAGCAATTAGAAAATATAAAATCTCTTTTTGGGAAGGAGGCAGGGTTTTAAGTTTAACAACAAGGTTAAAACTGAGGCCCAGGGAGGGGAAGGGAGAACGAGATCGGGGCGCTGGGCCCTAAACCCAGGAACTTTGGGATTCCCGAGGACCCATCCTATCAAGGGTTGGGCAAGCAAGACTCAAGGGGCACTGAACCCTCCTTCTCTGTGTGCACACAGGGAAACTGAGGTCCTGCGAGCGTCTGGGTTTGGCTTGCCCACGCTACACTGACAGCCTGGCGGAGCGCGCGTCCACCTTTGACCCCGAAGCTACGCGAGAGATTAGTCCTAGTCCGTCGCTGAGCTGGAGCCTCCGTTGATCCGCAGAGAATTAAACCCACCTGGGCCGTTCTGCTACTCACCCCAAGCAGGAGGAGGAAGTTGGTGGCTCGTGGACGGAGACGGGAGAGTACGTCGACCAATCCGGAGAGCACGCCTGCGCTTTGGGCGACCAATAATTTGAAGGGGGGAAAAATTCTCGACCCGCCTCAAAGCTGCCGTCCTCTCACTTAGAACCCTCGCGAGATCACCTCTCGAGTGGACCTATTGGCTGAGAGGTAGAAATTGAGGGTTACGCCCACTGTTTTCTCCGGTTTCTGATTGGTTCTCTTAGAGGAGACGATGGCAACGTCAGCGAGTCCTCTGGATGCCCATTGGAGGACAATGCGGGACTGCCAGCGCCCGGCCCTGGCGCGGGCGTTCGAACCAGAGTTTGGCGGCGTTACCATGGGGATGCGGCCTGGCGGCTGCCTCCGGCTCTTGCCTAGACACCACGGTCGCCACCCTGGGGCCTCTCTCCCGTCGTCTTCTGTCCTTAGACAGGGCTGACTGCGGAGACATTTGGGAGCCTCCGAGGTGAGAAAGGGCTGTGAGGACGGGGGCGGGGTAGACCTACCTGGTCGGGAGCCCTGGCTCCTGCCCCGCGGGAGAGAGGGCTCGGCCGTGAGGGTGGACGCCCGCCGAGCGCGTGAAAGCGGCTGGCGGTTGTGAGTTGGTCTCTCCGGGTTGCCCGAGCGCACCCCCCCTACTCTCTGCCCTTCACCCCCATATCTTCGCCTCCTCTTCAGACATTATCTCGAATTCCACTTCTGTGAAGCCTTTTCTGAGCCTAGAAGTCCTTCTACCTTTGAACCATAGCCCCGTCTTAGAGCGCTTCCAATTCCTCCCTGGCTTATTTGTGTACTTCCGCGAACCCCATTTCCCTTCCTTCTCCCCTGTAATTCTGAGGCCTTTGAGACAGGCCAGCACCTTTCACAATGTCTTACAGACACAGTTCGGCGGTATTGCGGGCTGAGTTCCAGACCAACCGTGGTAGGATAGTAATCTGCCGGTGGAGGGCCTTGCCTCCAATTTGTTAGAAACGCAACCCATTGAAGCGTAACGAAGCGAAGCGCAATAAAACGAGATATGCTATAGTAAAATTTGCAGGAAATGAGTTTAACTTACCACACATAGAGGATTCCCCTCTATGCCATGTCCCCCTTCCCCCTCCCATACAGAGATTTTTTTTTTTTTAATGGGAGTCGGGGGTGGAGACCCTAGTCTCATGTGCAAAGGACTTGAAAGGTCAAGGTTGGTCTTTCCACTCTGTGAAAAGGAAAACTTGTTACAACTCTCCCCAAATTGTGGCTTTTAGTCTTGACTTCCCAATGCTTTTATTAGACTCCCTCCCCGTTAGTCTTTGCTTAAAACAAACCATTCTGTTGTTGCTATGTGCCAAGAGAGTTTGTCTGTCTCAGTTTCTTAGTGAGCCACAGCTGTTGTCACATTTTAAGTGTGTTTCAGAAAATGCTTGAAATTATTTTCTCCTTTGTGTTTATTTTCTGCTTGTAGTCTAAGTGCATGTAACAGCTACTCTGGTAACTGCCATTCATCAGGTGTCCATGATAGAATTGCATTATCAAAATTGTTTTATTGTTAACTCCTAAGACAATATATACCCAACCTGCATTGTCAATGATTCTTATATTAAAATCATCGCTCAAGAAGACTTTAATAAGGGGCTGAAAATTCAGATATAGCAGCTATGTTCCTATTACCTTCTTATAAAAGTTTGAACACTACCGAACTGAAGATCTGTGACATGTAATGGAAACCAGACTGGGGATTCAGGGTTAGGTCTTGGCTGGCTTTGCAAGTCACTTAGCCCTTTTAAACCTCTCTTTCCATCTAAAAAAATAAAAGGATTGAATTAGGTTTGAATTCCTGTGGCTCTGTTATCAAGTTAAGCAAACAGTGGATGTCAGGTAGACGTCACATAACTCAGCCTTCCAAAGACCATACAGATGGAAGTAATAGTTACCATTTATTGAGCATTTGCCCTACACAAAGCACTATCTCAGAGGCTTTATCTAAATATTGTATCTTCTTACCATTAGCACATTAATGTGCTCCCCATATAACATTTCATTAAAAACTTTCGTTTTATGTTGTTAATGAAAACTAGGGCATGATCCTCTCATGTTCCAGTTTAGGTAGCATTTTCAACAGAAACAGCAGTTTCTTTCTGTAGACTGCAGTTTTGTTGTTCGTAAAGTGAGAGGTTGAACTCTTCTCAGGTCCCTTACAAATTAATTGATCTATTAATTCGGTTTCCCGTGCTGACTTAGCAAACCTGTTCATAATTTGTGCAGAATGGATTCTCAACAAATTTTGTTAAATAACATAGTTATATTTCTTGTAGTTGTGTTGTAGTCATTTTATACTTCGTAAGTTATTGTCTTAAGGATTTTGATGTTTATGTTTTATTAAATACTAGGGGCCCAGTACCCAAATTCATGCACTTTGAAAGGAACTATGGGCCAAGAGGCTGTAGTAGGCATAGGGGCGGGTCTCAGCCCATCCTCCATGCCCCCGTCCGGTCCCCTGTCTGCTGGCAGGCCTGCTCCCGCCTGATGGCACCAGCCCTGCTCACACCTGCTGACCATGCAGAGTGATTGGGGTGTGAGCAGGGCCCGGGCCATCAACTGGTGTGAGCAGTAGCTGTTGCTCTGATCACCCCACAGGAGCAGGGGGAAGTGGAGAAGCCCTCAGGGATGATGAGGGAGGGCCAGCTGCGCTCACACCTGCTGACAGTGCCAAGTGATCGGGACCGCACCAGGTACTGGCAGTGGGTGCCAGGGTGCAAGTGATGGCTCCAGGTGCAAGTAGGGCCGGCGCCAACAGCAGGTGCGAGTGCTGGGTGGGACCACAGCACGCAGGAGCAAAGAATTTTCATTACTACCAGAGGCTTGCCCGATGACAGAAACCATCACCCTGCCTTGGTCTGGTGCCCCTGCTCACCACCATCATCCCGCCACAGCCAATGCCCACCATGTTCCACATACCCCCCTCTGGTGGTCAGTGCACATCATAGCAGCCGATTGCTCGGTTGTTTCCGTTGTTCAGCCGTTTGGTCTATATGCATATTAGCCTTTTATTATATAGGAAGATTTTTCTATAGGCATAAACTAATAATAATAGCTACCATTTGTGTTGGAAAAACTGTTTTCGAACTGTGTGTCTTTTTCCTTTGTAGGGGAAAATCTCAGTTCTTTCCCTTCTATATGTCTCCTTTAGTACTCACAAAGCACACTTCTGACATTTCTAATCACCAAATGGGGGGTGGTTCCCCCACCAAACAAATCTCTGTGACACCAGGTGGGTGTCCAGCAGTTTAACTCTGTCTGGAGATAGTGTCAGATCCCACAGGTTAAGGACTCAGTCCGATAAGACTGTTCCCACTCCATTTACAAGTCAACTGTAAGTAGTAGATCCCCAGGTTTCCCACAACTTTGTCAGATTTGGCTACAAATTGGAGGTTCCCAGGATCCCTTCCTCAAGTTAAATTAATTTGCTAGAGTGACTCACACAATGCAGGCAAACACTAAAATTACATTTATGAGTTTAATAAAGGATACGATAAAGGGTACAGATGAAGAGATATATTGAGTGAGGTCTGGGAGGGTCCTGAAAAAGGAGCATCTGTGCCCCTCGAGTTGGGATGCATCATGTTGTAGTATGGATGTGTTCACCAATCTGGAAGCTCACCAAACCCATACTTTAGGAATTTTTAAAATATATATATTTTATTGGTTTTTTACAGAGAGAAAGGGAGAGGGGAAGAGAGCCAGAAACATCGATGAGAGAGAAACAGCTGCTTTCTGCACACTCCCTACTGAGGGTGCGCCTGCAACCAAGGCACATGCCCTTGACCGGAATCGAACCTGGGACCCTTGTTGTGATTTGATTCAATAAAACCAGTGGTATCGAATCATGTAGCTAACATATGGATATCTATTCACTTTCTAAAACAAATTCATAGTTTTTAATGAATTATCTATGGTTTGGTTTCTATTTATTTTTACAAGGGAGATGATGATAATTGACATCTATCATAAGTCTTAGGTTAATCAAGTAGCACAATTATAATACATATTAATTTAGATTCCAGTGAATGTAATTATAGTTTTAATTCTTTTTTGCTTTCTCAGCATTACTCCTTTAGAAATAATTCCTCATGCCATTTTGGCAACAGTTCCCAAACGGATGTAACACTGAGTAAAAGAATCTGTATCATCTAATTTATAAAAACTGATTGTCATAGTTATTTTTCCAACTAACCATATGTAATATCTATATTTTAATATATTTTTATTATTGATCATGTGAGATTTATTTTGTAGAAAATATAACTGCAGATATGGCAAAAATCTACAAATGATAACTCTGCAATTGGATTAGACCATAATTTTAAAAATAAAATACTGCATTCAAACTTAATATTGTTTACCACCTGTTACTGGTGGTAAAATTAAACCTTCATATTTAGAGAAATACTTGCACTGTTTTAAGATAACTGTGCTCAACAATTTTTTAATGTTTATTTTTAGGTAATTGCTTTTCACCAGATTTAGAAATTTAATAACCTCATAATGGGGTTCTTGGAAAGAATTGCAGTACTTGCAAGCATTAGCTACTTAACTGTAAACAAACTTGAAACATTTTTAGTTACAAAAAGAAACCTTTTAAAAACTACTTTTGTATGTAATTCATGATTGGTGTCCCAAAATCCACAACTAGCCTTAAGAATTCCATTAAGTATCATATATTCTCATTCCTTCGCAGCTGTTATTTAGGCAGTTGTCTAGTTTCATTTGTGTTCTGTTGAGATCAGTAGTATAGATAGTATAGTCCCTGGAGTTTGAAATTTCCTTGTTGGAGAGAAACATATACTATATTACTCACCTTTTAATCTCCCACTGGTAATACTGAATTTCTTGTGTTCTTAATTAGGGACCTTATGCCTAACATTTTAAGGAAAATTGATTAATAATGTTGGGTTTGTATTGTACCCATTTTTAAAATTATTTATTTTTTTAAAAATATATTTTATTGATTTTTCACAGAGAGGAAGAGAGAGGGATAGAGAGTTAGAAACATCGATGAGAGAGAATCATTGATCAGCTGCCTCTTGCACACCCCCCACTGGGGATGTGCCTGCAACCAAGGCACACGCCC